TAAAAATAAGTCATACATATCTGTGATGAACCCAGCTTGCAAAATTTTGGGACTTTCTCCAGCACAATTAGGTGACATGAATAAAAGTTGAGGAATCAAATCAAGGGTTAGGGGTTTGCAAGGAATGAGCGAATAGGGACAAGGGATTTGAAGTTAGAGGACAGTAGGAAGCTGACCTGGTAAATTGTAAGGTCAAAACTGGTAAGGGAGGAAAATGAATAGTTGCAAACATCTTTGGTGAGCATTTCTTCCTGTTTTATGCCTTGCTTGATATTTATAATCACAAAATCATCAAATTCTGATACATATTTCAAGGAATGTTGTAAGATGCTTTTAAATGAAGTCACGGAAGGAAGTTTGTTGGAGAAGAGCCTTAATGTAACATTGTGCTCTATGAAATCAGGTAGGACTCCCTTCTCACTTGAGCCTCCACACTATCCCATATCCACTAAAAACCATAGTTTATGAGATCCCTCTGATAAGTTTTTTTTTTCTGTCTAGTCAATCTGAGGACAGAATTAGTTCAAAGTAAAAAGCTTCTTAATGAAATAGTATAATCAGAAAACTTATAATAGAACATCCTGTATTGCCCTCCTCCCCAAACTAATGAAAACAAACTAAAACCAGGGCAAAATACATACTGTTAATGAGGAGGGTTGGAAATGCATAAGGATTGTGTATACTTTTGATTCTTGTGGTGACTACCAGGCATGTAATCTCAGCTGAGTGTTGCTCTTGACATTTGATTGGCAGGCCTGCTCTACTGCTCTGCTCCTCTCCATTGGTCTTGTAGTAACTGGTGGCATATAATAACCTCAGCTAAGGATTGTCTTGGTCTCCATTGGGTATTACTCTCCACTATTAAATTCTGGGCTCATCTCTTCAGGGCCACCCGAATCATCTCAGCTCCAGTCTGCTAGGATATGATGGCTACAACTACTTTCTAATAAGGGCAGGTCAATAGGTTATGTGGACTTTATTTAATGCTATGTCTTCTCACTTTATTTTTTTCCCCTAATTTGGAACTTATTTTGATCTCTATTAAGTTGATCATCTGACTATAGAGAGACAACTCCTTCAGAAATGACCACTACGTTGGCAATCATTAGAAAGTAGCCTAAAGAACTTCAAAGTACTGAGTTCACAAAAAACTTTAGCAGGTCAGTGAACCCAGGAACATCAATAACCTGAAAGGAAAACTTCTCAGGGGCACGTGACATAACAAATAATTTAGACACCGTATACCTTAAAAAAAACCTCTCTAATTTTAGCAATATATAAGAATTCTACCTTAAACATAGGTTCGCCTGTGTTCTTCAATGTCATACAAGATGCACTGTAGAAAGCCAAAATTAAATGATTCTTTGTTGATGGCAGTTTTCTTCCAAATATTTCTGTTTGAAAATAACATTGAACTAATTATGTCAAGCCCTGAAACACTACAAAGCCATCAGAGTCAATTCAAAACAATACAAAAAGTGGTCTAACCATCCACGCTAGAAAAACAAAGTGATATAAAACATATTGTCTAGGCTATAAGATACACCCAAGCAGGTAGCTCATTAAATTAGTACAGAAATATGTATATATTTTAGATAGGAATTTCATATGGATAATGAATTGGCCACAGAATTGAGTAAAAATTGAACTGGATCAAATTTCAATTATTGCAAATTGCTTGCTACTGATGGAATCCTAATAAAGCTGCCCCCAGCCCCAATATTCTAACTTCCTTATAGGCCCCACTAAACAGCAAGCCCATTGCCCCTACCTAGCCACTGCTCCCTCCCCACCCCCCAATATCCTAACTTCTTCATATATGCCTCACTGCTCACTAGAATAACAGGTGTGTCCATGAACTCATATTTCTCATAGAAACAGGAGGCATGTCCATGTGATGGGATCCCAGCCACTGCCTCTAGCTAGCCACTGCCCCCAGACCCATTCCTCATATTTCCCACAGAAACTTCAAGTGTGTCCATGTACTCAAACACAACCATATCCTTCTAGTCTAAGACAGGACCATAATACTCAGCCAATTAGAAAGCAGCATGTGGGATGTGGACCCCCAAAACAATAGAAGGGACTTTCCCTAAGTAGGCACCTGCGCAGTAATAGCAAAAGCTGTCCTTTAGGTGAACTTATGACATAGAGAGGCTTATTATAATATCATTATCATACATACATATCCCCCTCCAATGGGTTTTTCTGTGTGCATTGTGGGAAATGGCATGCATAGTTCCACCAAGGCTGGGATCCTTCCCCTATTACCTAATCCCTTAACAAACCCCTCCTGCCTTTAAAATATTCATAATTTCTGTTATGTAATTGCATCTTTACCCTATAAAAATCCATCTTGCTTTCACTAAAATTGCTGGTTCTTCTTGGAACTTAGCCCATGAGAACTTAGCCACTTCATGAGAGGCATCAATCTCAATAAATGCCTATACTTGGATTAGAGGTGGTCTGACTGAATTCTTTGAGATGGTTCTGCCACAATATATCATGAAACCACAACACTGCTACAGTAACCCATGTCTTTAACAGTAATATTCTCTTGGATAAAAATTGAAGAATCATCTAAATGAAATGACAACTCATAGAGCAATGGAAAGATGCACAGGTAGACTGCTTTGATGTTCAGTCATAGCCAACTCTTCTTGACCCCATTTGGGGTTTTCTTGGCAGAGATACTGGAATGTTTGCTATTTCTTTATTCAGCTCATTTTACAGATAAGGAAAGTGAGGCAAACAGAGTTGAGGAATTTGCCCAGAGTCACATAGCTAGTAAGTGTCTGAGGCCAAATTTGAACCTCATTTTACTGGGGAAGAAATTAAAATCTCTAATCCTCAGTTTCTTTATCTGTCAAATGGGCATACTAATGTGTTCATACTGACTTCCTCACAGAATGGTTCTGAGAAAAGTGCTTATAAAGCTTAAAGTACTTTCTAAATGTAAGTGATTATTATTGATAAGTGATTGAATACAGAGGATGAAGTAGTTAAAGATGATCTAGGGATCTGGAGCCTAGAGAATAGTGATATCAGTACCAGAAAAGGGAAAGTCTAAGAAGGGTGATGATATTGTTTGGGGAAGATAATCAATTAGGGTTTAGAAACGTTTAGTTTGAGTTGATTTCAGGAGAAAGTAGAAAAGTTCAGCAGGTAGTTGGAAATGAGGGATAGAGAGGTTAAAGATAAAGATTTTTAAAATTTCACGTTGGTATTTATGTGAATACATATTATTACTAACAGCAATAGATTCTTTATTGATAATACTATATGATATATTTATATAATACTTTAAGGTTATAAAACATTTTATATACAGTATCTCATTAACAGTAATAATACCTAACATTTATATATCACTTACTATATAGGCACTTTACAATTATTATCTCATTTGAGCCACACAATAACCCTGGGAGGTAGGTGTTGTTCTTCCCATTTACAGATAAGGAAACTGAGGCAAACAGAGAGGTGAAGTGACTTGCCCAGGATTACACAGCTAGTAACTGTTTGAGGCTGGATTTGAACTCAGGTCTTTTTAACTCTAGACTTGGCACTCTATCCACTGCACCACCTATATATACCTATATATATACATACATATATGTATGCTTTAGATCCACACAAACTTGTGAGGTGTATACAGCAAACATTTTTATTCCTATCCTATAGATTTTTTTTTCCTTTGCTAGGTAATGGGGTTAAATGACTTGCCCAGGGTCACACAGTTAGTAAGTGTTATGTATCTGAGGCCTGATTTGAACTCAGGTCCTCCTGAATCCTGATCAGGTGCTCTATCCACTGTACCACCTAGCTGCCCCTTTATCCTATAGATTTTGAAACTAAAGTTCGGGGAGATTTTGTAATGCAAATTTTTTCCCCATTTGATGATCTCTTTTCTTATTCAATCCACAAAGATGCACGTCTTTGTATGAAATGTAACAACTTTTGCATAAGCAAAATAAAAGCAGATACAAGTAATTTACATTGTTTTTCTTGATGGTAGTCCAGATTTTTCCACTTGTCTGGTCTAGGAGTGCTGGGAACCCCAAAGTGCAAGGGTACAGGCAAGCGTCTGACTAGAAAGAATTTGAGCACTGAAGCCTTTCGGTCGAAGCAGGCAGTTCATTGTAACACCAATAGAAGCAGGCTCTGCAGGGTGAGTCTGCACTACTTGTGACCCTAATGCTAGGTGGGCAGATTTTAAGAATCTGAGCCATTGAGGAGGATAAACCAGATATTTTTGTACAGAAAGACTGTGGGAAGATCTGGATGAGATTTAGGACTGGCAAAATGCCTGGGGTGGTCTAGAGGTAATCAAGAAAAGGGCTGGGATGGGATTAAGGAGTGTCAAGTAAGCTAATTAAGTAATCAAGGTGGGCTGGAAACCCCAGGGATGTGGCCTGCCCGGGAGCGTCCAAGGCCTTTTAGGGTCCGCATCAGTGCCCCAGCAATCTGAGGTCACACAGACGGCTGAGTCTTCTAACAAGTCCTGCGCCCTTTTCATAACAGTCTCCAACAAACACTAGCTACTGAGGTGCTTAGTAACAACCACAAGAACGAAGTCAGCATGATAAGGAGAATACTAAGATCAGGAATAGAGAGCTGCAGGGGAGGCCATCTAGTACAGCCCCCTTGTTTGACAGATGAGGGAACTGAGTCCCGGAGGTTTAAGTGACTATCTCGCCCAAGGTCAAATCTTTTAATTCTTTGTTTGCCTCCTTAAGAGGTTAAAGGAAAGAGGAAGATGTGGATACGTCCAGCCCCAGGGGCCAATCTGCGACCTCAAACCCAAGACGCTCGCCTCCTTTCCTCGCCCCCCACGCCCGGTCCACTTCTCCTCCCATACCCCGCCCCGCCCCGCCCCATTTCTCCTTCCTCTCTTCCTCTGCCCGTGAGAAATAAATCCCAGAAATAAACTTTCAGTCCGATCGTCTGCGCATGCGTAAGACGTCACGGAAGCGCGCGTTCTTTCGCGCTGTCAAAGCGCCGGGGTCACGGGGTCATCCCGCGGAAGATGGCGGCGGCGGGGACGTTGACCTTCGGTCGCTTTCTGGGCCGCAGCCTCGGTGCTTCCCGGGGCCTCCCTGTGGCCCACAGGTGTTTTGGTGTGAAGATATCACCCTCAGGGGAGAAAATTACCCACACGGGCCAGGTAACGGGGGAAGGAGGAGGAAAGAGGGTGTCTCGCCCTTCCCCACTACCCTCTGCGATGCTGAGGTTCCCGCTCAGGTTTCTCGTGGACTCGGGGCTCTGGCGGGGGCGGACAGTTTGGGTGACCTCCTCTCCCTCTTTCACCCTCTTCTCTCTCCCCCCCTTCTTTGCCTTTCCCTTCTCTCTTCCTCCTCCTTTTTCTCTCCTCCCCTCCCCCTCCTCCTGCCCCGTCCTCCCCGCCCCCCACCCCCATCGGACACAGGTTTGTAGCTCAGGACGTGTCCGGGACCTGTGGGCCGCGCACCCCAGAATGCGGATCTCTTCAGTCAGGTCTAGCCCCGAGTCCTTTCTAACCCGTACACTGACACAGCCTTATCCCGTGCTCCCTCCTTTAGGGTAACTTTCCCATGTCCTGGAGAAGGATATCTATCTTCTGCTGATAAGTGTCAGCCTTCCTCTGTTGTGTGTCTTTTGACATTCGGTGGGACCCCGATTTTGTTTTTAATTTGTGTTGTATTCCCAGCAGTGCCTGGCACATAAAAACTCTTAATAAAATTCTTCTTTCTGGATTGCTGTCTCCTTAATTACCTTGTATTTCATCTTTTGCTAAAAAACAAAGTGGATATTACCTTGGTCAGTGTGAAATACATACAAGCTTGGTCAGAGTTAAAGATCATTTTATTTAAGGAAGGAATGTTATTCCTCTTCTGTGCTGTGTTCCTGTTAAGAATTTAAATGTTTTCGAGCCGCAGTTACTGAAAATTGTTAGAGTTGAGTTTGCATTTAGCAGCAAAGTGAAATGGATAACCTGTTCAAGTCTAGGTTTGTCGTATCGTTAAAGTGCCACATGTGTAATTGTAATATTCTAATCTTTGATGCCCCTTCTGTCCCCAACATTCTGATTATCTTTTGTCCACTTATTTTGATTATGATGGAACAGCTTCACATATTTCAGCATGTAAAAACACATTTAGTCTTCCTTTGAAAAATTTTTTAAATTTTGTTTTATTGTGGATATTGGAAGTTTGAATAAGTCGTTAAAACTATAAAATTTAGGTGTTTAAAATATAAGAAATTTGAATTCATCATTTGAGTTATTTTGACTGCATTCATTAAATCAACTGTGTAATGGAAGTGGCCTGTCCAGTAATAATAATTATTTATAAACATTTAGACAAAAAGAATTTAAACATATAAACAAAACACGCGAAGGATTTTACATATATCTCATTTTATCCTCACAACAGCCCTGGGAGGGAAACACTGTCATTATCCCCATTTTACACAGGTGAGGCAGAGCGATGAAGTTACTTGCCCAGGGTCACACAGCTGGAAAAATATATGAAACAGAATTTGAACTTACTCCAGGGCCAGCACTCTATCCATTGAACCACGTTGTTGCTTCATTAAGAATATATTGCAGCAGATACAAACAGTGTGCCCTTCAAAATGGTGTTTATTTTCAACCTATGTGCCTGTAATTACAGATTTCCTCATTTTACCTTACTTGGTTAAGTAACTGTGTCCAAATGTCGAAGGAAAGCTTCCTTAAATTACAATATTTATTACTGTTGTGTACTTTTTAAAGGACAGTTTTCTTCTTCATTTATATTAGAATGGAGAACTCATTCTTTTAACTGTTTAAGTAATTAATTTTGTATTACGAAAACATCAAGGGGCAGCTTGGTGGTGCAGTGGATAAAGCACCGGCCCTGGAGTCAGGAGGACCTGAGTTCAAATCCTGCCTCAGACACTTGACACTTGTTAGCTGTGTGTCACTGAGCAAGTCACTGAACTCCAATTGCCTCACAAGAAAACCAAAAAACAAAAAAAAGAAATCATCAGGGATCATTTATCAAATAACATATAGGAAGATGTTCTAAAAGGGGTTAAAAAACAAAATTAAGGCAGTGCTATTAATATCTGATTATTCAAAGAAGCATGTTATAATTAACTTTAGTGTCTACTTTGACAAGCATGTTTAAAATAAGACAAAAATTATTGTTTTAAAGGATAAGCTGTAAAAATAAAGCACAATTTTTTTTAAAGGTTTATGATGAAGAAGATTACAGGAAGATTCGCTTTGTTGGTCGCCAGAAAGAGGTAAGCTTATATCTTTCAGAAGAGAGTTAAGTCTTAATAAAACTAATTTGACAAGAGAAATGAAATAGATATGCACAGTTAAAGAGCAATACAGGAAGTCTTAAAATCATCTAATTTCTTAAGTTACATATTTCTTCATAGTGTTAAATGTGATCTTTTAGGGAGTGCAGTTCTTTTAGGGAGTGCAAAAATTGTGATGCCACGATTTTTGTTTTTGAAATGTCAAATTTTAAGAAAAATAATTGTTTCCCTTATAAACTGAGATCACTACTTTCTTTACCCCATGCAAGCTTTTTCAAGTCTACAAATTCTATTGCTAATTTTTTTTAAACCTGCTATTTTAGTTATCTAATGCAGTGTGATTTTTTTTTTTAGTTCGTCTTAAATAAGTTAGGTTGGTTTGTTATTTGGACATAAGGAATCTGTTAGATACTGGAAGTAGTATATGAATCATTCTTTTCTGAGGTCTAGACCAAATTAATGTGACAAGTTAGAGGTAAGTTCTCGTTTTCTACATAACTAGTACTATTTCTTGTCACCAGTGAGTGAATTTTATGGTTGGGCATGGGTCTTCTTAACTCCCCTTTCTGACTGTTTTATTTCAAGTGACAGTAATATTATCTAGTACCTAGATGTTCTTTTGGCATTGACATATGCTGCTACCCTGCTTCTCAACCTGTAGCTTCTCTCCTCCCCGTATATACTTGAGCGCAGGGACTGTCTTGTTTTTGTCTTTGTATCTCCAGCACCAGACACAGTGCCTAGCACATGGTAGGCACTCAAATGTTTAATTCCTTGTTTTAAAGAAAGGCTTTAACCTTGTTACCATTTGCCATTTTCATTTGAATTTATTTACAACCTATCTCTTTTTAATCTCTGTTAATCCAGTTTTTTGTCCTCTCTAGGACGTCTAATCATTCTGTTAAACTTCATCCAACCAATTAACTTACTTCTCGTTACTCTTCACATGATGTCTAGCTTCGACTTCATGACTATTACCATATTTCTGCCTAATCTGCCACCCTGGAGTTTTTTGCCATCTTGAGCTTTTGCCATGCTTATCGTTTTTGTTCTTTGCTTTATCCACTCTGACTTTAGGCCATAGAGTGTCATCACTGGAAAAGGTCCCAGAACTATACAGACCTGGACTCATATAGATTTATACTATATAGATTTATCTGGGTCCTCAGCAGTTTCTTTTACTCATCTTTTCTTGATTCACTGTCAGAGTCTAACTGTGGCTGTTAAAAATGTTCAATTCTACTCTTCTCAGCCCCTCAACTCTCCTATTGATAAAGTTATCTAGCATGACCTTCCCCTTTCAAGTTTTCTGTTTACCTTACAGTATCTGTTTCTTTTTGGTCATATCAGGGAGAGAGAATACACAACACAGCACCTACTATGTGTCAGGCAGTGTGCTAAGGGCTTTACAGAAATTATCTCATTTTGATGCTCACAGCAACCCTGAGAGGTAGGTACTCTTATTTTCCAAATTTTACAGATGGGAAAACTAAGGCAGACAGGTTAAGTGACTTGCCCAGGTCCCACAGCTAGAAAGTGTGTGAGGCTGGTTTTGAAATCAGGTTTTTGGACTCCAGGCCCAGCACTCTGTCCACCTAGCTGCCTGGTGTCTAGCAGTCAAATAGCAGGCATTTATTAGGCACTAATATATACCAGTCATTTGTGACGTACTGGGGATAGAGAAAATTAAAGCAGGCTTTGTTCTCAGGGATCTTGTGTTCTATCAGGACAGACAAACATAAGTAAATACAAAATAAATATAATGTTATTTTTTTTGGAGAGGGGAGCCATAACTGATGGGAATATTTTACCCATTTTACTGTCCTAGCTTCAAAGTCATCTATGAGAGTCATCTATCACTTCTAACAGAGTTAAATAAGTCAGTGCCATTCAGGCAGGTGATTGCCCCATGCCCCTATTCATTTTAATCTCAAACATCAAAATAGCTTGTATTTTTAGGATATTAGGGATAAACTTACATATGTGTTTCCATCCATGTGACAATCTTTGTCCATTATACAAGCCAGGTGATCATTGATTAGGCAACTACATGGACAGCTGGTTAGAGTGGTAGGTCTGGAGTCAGGAAAGACTTGTAGAAGATGGCACTTAAGCTGAAATTTGAAAGAAACTTGGGATTCCAAGAGGCAGAAGTGGGGAATGAGTGCATTCTAGTCATAAGCAATCTGTACAAAGGCATGGAATTAAAAGATGGAGTGATATGTGTGAGGAGCAGCAAGAAGGTATTTTTAGGTAAACTATAGAGCACGTGAAAGGAAGTAATGTAAAATAAGACTGGAAAGGTATGTTGGAATCAGATCATGAAGGGCTTTAAATGCAAAACAGAAGTCTATATTTGTCTCAGATGAAGTATTCCTCCATTTCTAAGAGTAACTCCTTTCCACTTGAGTTCTTGTCACTCCTTGCCTACCGTGAATCTTGAAAGAGACCACATGTAAATAACTTTCTGTAGCATCTTCTGTCTTCTTCCAATTCCAAACATTTATCTTCATTACTTTGAAAAAAAATTTGTTTTTATCTCTCCCCATAGCTTATATTCATTGACTTTACTTTATTCCCTTGTTCCCTAACAGTATAGGTGTCCAAGGTTTATTTATTATCTTGTGGTCTCTCTACATCCTGTTGGAGAGAGTTATCCCCTCTTACATGTTTCATCCATCATTGCTCCACCCTCTTGTCATTTCATGAATTTTAGCATGGTATAGTGTGTCAAGAAACCTAGGTTCAGGTTCTCCTTAGGCTGAACTGGCTGTGTGATGATCCTGTGCCAGTCACTTAACATCGATATTCCAGGCAATTCTAAAAGTTGATTGTTTCACAGTAGTTGATGATCTCCATGGTTGGACATTTTCTTCCCTGGGAACTCCCTGTGTTGATAAGATCACTGCTTTGCACTTAAAAAGAAGTCATTTCACAATAAAGTCATTTATGGATTATGACCGAATCCCACATTCTCTGTAACATAGTTCAACCAGTTGCTCATTTATAGTCGTTCCCGTCTATATTTTCCAAGGAATTAATGACCTTAGGCCAGATATGCTAATTTTCTGACATGTATCTTCAGTTATAGCCAGGCTTTTCTTTTCATTTTTCAATGTCATTTTTCATTCTTCAAGGTAATGACCTTGAGAGCTGGCCTCAAAGGCGGGAAGATGTGGTTTGAAGTCTTGCCTCTGACACATTGGTTTTGTGACACTGTGCAGATCACTTAAACTCATAGTGCCTTAGGTTGAGTAAGCTTGCAGAAAAGGTGCAATTCTGAATTGGTAGAGGGAGTTTGCTCACATAGGATTTCCTTAGTATACCAGTAAAATCACTGGTTTAGTATTCTGTCCATTCCATATTTATTCTCGCTTCTAAACCTTTGCTTATCCTGTTACTCCTTGCTTGGAATCTCTTTTCTCTTTACTCTTTATCTAAATAACTCTCCATGTTTTAAAATTTACCTAGTCCATGAATCTTTTCTCATTTGTTACCCCTATCATACAGATGCAATGTAGGTTAGTAGAAAGACCATTGTATTTGAAGTTGAGAGACCCATGTTTCAGTCTTATCTCCGTTACTCCTAGCTGTGGAACCACGGACAATTCATTTAACCTCTGTGATCTTTAGTTTCCTCATCTGTAAATTAAGGATGGTGATCTCTTTTTGTATCTTATCTCACAAGGTTGTTGGGAGGATCAAATGAGATAATATGTGTAAAAATCTTTGTAAATCTTAAAGCATTATGTAAAAGTAAATTATTATTATCCCATTCTATAGTAATCTCTACTTTCTCAGTTTTGATAGTATTTTCCCGTGCATTCATTTAATACTTGATTATGTACTGCTTGTTTCTGTGGATGTATTATTTTTCCAGTGAGATTTTAAGTTCTTGGAACATTTCATTGGAGCGTTTTTTCTGTACTTTGTGTCTCCCATAGTACTTAGCGTATTATGCAACACATAGCAGACAATAGAAATTGTGGAATCAATGAATTCCACATCATTTTGGTAACTGGTTTTTGTGTTCCTAAGCATTCTGAATAAGATGTGATATGATACTGGTTATTGTTAGTGACTTTTTGCTCTTTTTACACTTATTCCTATTTGGCCATGTGAATTTGTTTTGTGGGTGTGGGTATATGTTTTTTGTTTTGTTTTTTTGGAAGCAGTCGGGTTAAGTGACTTGCGCAGGGTCACCCATCTAGTAAGCATCTGAAGCTGAATTTGAATTCAGGTCCTCCCGACTCCAGGGCTGGTTCTCTATCCACTGTGCCACCTGGCTGCCCCTTGTATATATGTTTTAATTAAGTTTTACTGACACAAAACTACTATGACAATGTGGGGAGACTGGAAGAAAAAAAACAAAAAAAACCCGCAAACCACCTTAGCTTCCCTTGCGTTTTATGGCGCTGTAGTTAAAATCACTTTGCCTCTGAGCTTGTTTCATTGTCTGTAAAGTGGAGGTACTGATTGGTATTTGTAAGATCTCACAGTAATGTGAGGAAAGCATTTTTCAAAATGATAAATATATTATTGTTGTAACTACTGCTACTGTGAATATTATTATTATTATTATCATTATTATTATTATTACTACCATCACCACCACTACTACCATTACCATTTCAACCACTACTACTGCTGTCACATTTCCTCAGTCTTGTATGTCGCCAAGTACCCTCACTGAGAAGATAGTAGAACTTGGGTCAGTTATGTGCTGCTTGTCTATTTTGTGTCTTCACCCATTTCACTATCCTAGCTCCAAGGTTGCCTATGATAGTCATCTATCTCTTATAATAGAGTTAAGTAATTCAGTGCTATTCAGGTAGGTGATTCCCCCATTCATTTTATTCTCAAACCTCAAAATTAAGAGTAAACATACATGTGTTTGAATCCATGTGATAATCTTTTTGCAGTATAAAAGCCAAGTGATTAGTTTATTAGGCATCAGGTGGTGTAGTGGATAGAAAGCT